TACCCTCTAGGCAGATGTGCTGCTGTCCCAAAACACCACCTTGGGTTCCAGGGACTGCCACTCTCTCGGCTCATGGGTGGGGACAGTGCTAGACTTCGTGTACAAACCTGTGTACCCCTCTATATATATGTTATATAGAATGTATATATGTTGGGAACATGCTCGCTTCTGTGTGTCGCTGCTATGCGTCGTGTGCTCCACAGCACAGAGCCCTAACCTGGCCTTGGGCGGGGTAGGGGCTACAGTGATGTCCCTTCCCTATGCAACCACCATCACCACCGACACCACCATGGCCAGTACCCACCTGTCCGTTTGTGTTCTCAGCTCTGTCCACGCTTCAATAGGCCTGATGCAGACCCCCTTTCCCTGCAACTTCCTGTACATACGACTGTAAAATGGTAAACGTGTGTATTATATCTGGCCTCGTTATATAGTGTATATATATGTATACATATACATATATATAATATATATGAAGACTGTAAATGTTAAGACAACTAGTGTTCTTATTAGTATATTGCTTCACACTGAAGATTGTGTGTATCGAGCTGTTTCTAAAAGATGTTTATTTTCCTTAAGAGTTAAAAAAAAAAAAAAAAACAGTCATTGCATTCAGAAAAAAGTCAATAAAGATACCACGATTGTTTTGGAAGTTTGCGGCCTGTGGATGCCGACCAGATTCCCTAAGGGTTGGGAGTGGAGGGAAGGGCCTGGGGACACAAACAGGGACCCCAGATTTTACTCAATTAGTAGACCTATGTGGTCCTAAGTGTACAAAGAGATGACCAGGAGTGATGCTCCAGACACACGGGACTATGTAGCCCTGTTGTAACAGGGCTTTTGAGGATGCTGGTCTGCCCTCAGCACCCTGGGATCTGGTGAGGGGCTGGGGACAGAGACAATTGAGACCATCAAGGCCCCTCAAGGTTGATACAGCAAAAGTGTGGCCATGAGATCAGTGGGACAGGTTGGCTAAACATCATAGTACCCCAAGGCAGAAGGCAGCAAACACCCTTACAGCAGATGGGGAGTCCTGCTTCCCAGAGGACAATCCAGAAAGGATGGAAGTCAGGTGAGGCTGACATCTGCCCACCCAGATAAACAAAACAGGTTATAAATAATTTCACTTTTTAATTTTCTGTACAAAATTTCTCAACCTATGAAAATAAAGTTTGCAAAAGTTAAAGTAGTACATGAGCCTGCACAGGAAACTGGCTCAGCTGGATCTACACTATATACAAGTCTTCCAGGAGTGGGTGAGAGCCTCAGGACAGGGTGGCCCTCAGCTAGGGGAAAGGTTCCTTTCCATAGGACAGGAAAAAGGTGCCTACAGAGCAAGAGGGTGGCATTGGGCCAGTGCAGCCTCTGCAATTTCTAGATTTGTCACTAGAGGTCGGCATGATCCTGATTGCTTGTCAGGCTCACCCTCTCTGGACGACCACAGCCAGTGACAAAGGTCCTTAAGGGCCTCTAATACTGGGGAGACCATCCAAGGTTTAGCTGGAAGTGACAGTGGTCCCACCGCCCAGGCGCAGAAGCATCTGCTGGCAGTCAAGCAGTAGCCGATGATCACCAAGCTTCTCTACAGTGCGTGCTGCCTCAGCCAACATGCTCATTTGCTGTCCAGGGGCCGACAGGAAGGCAGGTGGCAGATAGCAGGAGGCCAGCAGCAAGGCCTCTGTGTGCTCCCGCCATGTGGGTCGAGGCTCCAGCTCAGCTACAGTGCCTGCACATATATGTATCATGTCAGGGAAGCGAGGCACAGGTCAAAGTATCTGACCTCTTGTACAGGGAACTCCCAAGTACTTTGGATGCCAGGGTCCTGTTCTCCACACATGCTGGGCTCACAGGTGGGCCCAGCCTCCTCCCTATGACTGTCTCACAAATTATCACCCCCAGCTGATCTCTGTAATTCAGCTCTCAGTATTCCTCATACCAGGCCAAGCCAGCCTCTCTCCCTCCACCCCACACAAACACATCGTAAGCACAACCTCCTCCTCACCTCCTTTGCCACTGGAGCCCCCCCGCCTCCGCAGACTTCGGTCCAGGAGCTGGTGTGTCCGGGCAGGACTTGCCCCTGCCATCAGCCGAGCTGTGGCCTCGTGTAGGAACACCTGGGGAATGAGGAGTAATGGCCAGTTTCAGATTTGTGCCCACTCTCTCCCCTAGCTTCCTGCCTCAGGCCTCCCAGTGTGAGGTGACAACAGTGGGACTTACTCTCCTCATAGCAGGCCGGAAGTTCTGTGCCAAGCGCCTCAGGCTGCTCAGGTCCTGTTGGAAACCTCGAAGCTCCAAAGCGGAGGCCTGAGATCCATTGCTGGCACTGTGAGCTACCTGGGCTGAGGCTGGTGACTGCTGGCGCTGCCACATACTAGTGCGGGCCACAAGAAGTAGATCACACAGGAGCAGCTGCATGGCCTGGGGTGGCAGGCAAGGCAGAGGTCATTGGAAGCTGGGGCACTGGTAAGGGCAAAGAGCCCACAGTGCCAACGGCTGACTCTGGGTGCACTAGGCCTTGCACTGCCTCACATGTACAAAGAGGCAGCAATTCACCATGGCTCCACCTTCTCTGGGCCACATGCCTACAAGCCCTCAGACTTCCTGACAATGGCCTCCAACGGGAGCCCTTACAGTCAGCTCACCGCCTTCTTCCTGGTGGTGGGAAAGGGTGAGCCCATTCTCCCCAGGACTCCAGCCTTCATCAAACACTAAGGTAAGCCCATTCAGCACTGTTTTGTATTAACTCCAAAAAACTAGGAATGGACAGCTGTGACCCTGGCCTAGCCAGGCACCCATCCTACCCCCTCACCTTGTCAATGGAGCTGCCAGTTGGTGGAGCGGCTAAGCTGTCCCGCAAGTACCCGCTGGCCTTCTCACAGATGGCCAGGCTGGCTGGGCCAGACTCCACTTTTCTGTGGTCCAGCAGAGCCCGGGCAGCCTTGAAGGAGTACAGAGCTGCCTTGGGCAGGGGTCTCCTATTGGGGTTAGAGCAGACATGGTAGGTTAGACCAGGATACAGCTCCTCCCTGAGCCCTCCCACCCTGGTTCTAGTTTCCTGGGGCAGAGAGTACACTGTCCTTCCCATAGAGATATTTAAGCAAAGTACCGAGGGGTCCAAAGCTGGGTGAGGAGGACCTGACCGGACACTCACTCAGTCTCCTGCAGCACGTGGGGCATACGCTCTACCAGCGGGTATAGGCGCTCAGCTGCCTCTTCATCCCGCCGCAGCCAAGCCGTCAGTGAGGCCCACCACTTGGCCACTGGGTCTGTGCCTACAGAAGAGGAAAAGACGCCTGACCCTCAGCCACACTGCATTTGGGCCTGGCAGGAGTCAGGACAGCAGTCTGGAGCTCACCGGTGGTGGAAGCCATGCTGGAGCTGACAGAGAAGCTGCAGGCAGGAGTCCCGACAGCATCAGAGCAGCGATTTAGCAACTGCAGGTATCCAAGTGCGTCAGAGAACTCCCTGAGGGAGGAGAGAGCTGTCAGGACAGCCAGCAGCAGTCTCAGGGTTCTGGGTGACACTGGTTGTCCCCAACTGCCCATCAGAGCATAGTCTGACCCTATGGCTGACAAGATACCACCTGACAGAGTTCAGCAAGAGCTAGAGAGGCTCTGAGGACACACACAGTCTGGCTACCAAACATCTTGGACAAGGCTTTCCCAGACTCCCTGTTGGAGGGTCCTGCCCGGAAGTGATACAGAAAACCCACCTGTCTCCATCAGCTGTCCCCGGGCTGGGTTGAGCAATACAGTTCAGTGCTCTCTCCAAGAGATGTTCGCAGAATAGTCGAGTCACCTGGGCGAGGGGATCCACTGTGGGCAGGAGTGAATGAAGCAGAGGTTAGGCATCCTTTCCACACCAATACGTTTGTAGGCTGGGACCCCAACCCAGAGCCACTTCCTAGTTCCAAGTCCAAACAAACATGTAGACATTGATGGGTGCGTACTTAGGCCCTGCTCTCTGAAGCTTGGGCTACTCAGCCTCTGCCCTAGGGAGGGAGGTGGGTGAGCTGTGCAAGGTCTCACACTGGAAAGGAGAGCCTACCCAATCACACCCACTGGCCCTGACCCTCCTCAGGGCTCTTCCTGAGACCACAATGGTGTGGCCTGGGGTCACCTCTCAAGCCCACCCACTGCCCAGTGACCCATGCTACTATCTGCTTCTAAAGCCCAGCAAGCCTCCCCACAGCCCCAGCCACTGTGCAAAGTAAGCTGGGCAGGTGAGGGCATTCAGAAATGAGGGGGACAATGTCATGTGAGGTAGGAACGGGGCGAGGCATAAGAATGGAATGAGAGAGCACCTGGGTTCCCAGCCACGCTGTACAGGCTCTCCTGTGGGGCACCATGCACAGCCCAGTCCCCATCCACGAAGAAACGGTGGCCTACAGGGTGGCAGAGCCACTGCATGGCAAGAGGCACTGAGCCACTCTGTGCCAGGCAGGCCTGGCGGGCACTACTCAGGAAGAAACGCTGTGGGGAAAGGAACAGGACTGTGACACTGGCTCCAAGTTCAAACCCAGCCATGAGTTGGAGACCCCACCTGGGCTCATAGCCTACCTTCTAAACACTGCTACTTTAGGTCCAGCCCCTTGCCCTGGAGAGTTGCAAAGGTAAGTCCCCAGACCTGTCCCCCTCAGCCTACTTACTGTCAAAAAGTGCAAGGCTCTTGGGAGACTGGTCTTGACCCTCCGGGCAGCAGCCACATAGATCTCTGCCAGCGTTGCCATGGATACAGCATCTCCTGCGCACTCGGCCAGGTTCAGGGCACTCAGTGCCAGGTTAGAAGCAATGAGGTGCCCTCCTGTGTATTTGCCTGCAAATGGGCAAACATGAGGACAAGAGGTGATGGGATGGATAGGACCCAGCCATACCCATGGCGTAAGGACAGGAGGTGATGGGATGGGTAGGATCACAGCCCAGCTCCCACCCAGACATACCCATGGCATGCAGCTGGTGCAGCTTATGGTAGACGAGAGCCGCATCTCGAGCACTGGCACGTGCATCCATTCTCAGTCCACAGTCTCTCCGCAAGCCCCCAGCCCGGCCTGCCAGCCAGCGGCCAACCCAGAGACGCTGCAGCAGGTGGCGGATGAGGTTCCAAAGCAGGCTGCAGGCCAAGTCTAGGTTCGAGGTGGGCAGGGGCCGTCCCAATGCCTGCAGGGCCAGCCACAGCTGCTGAGCAGCCTGGGCAAAATCTCCCTGGAGAAAGGGTTGTCTTAGAAACTCGGTAGCAGGCCATCTCCCTTATCTGGGCCCCTGGAGTCAAAGGATCTCTGAAGGTGGGGGTGAGGCAGACTGGAGTATGGACAAAACAAAGGGAGCAGGTGGGGCACCTACCCTTCTCCTTCTCCCCAGGGCCAATCCCTTACCCGAGCCAAGTCCAGGTCAGCCTGTTTGCGATGTCTCCAGAAGTGTACAGCTGGGCTAGTGTGTGGCCGGGTCACAGGTTCCCCATTGACAAAGAGAAGAGCCAGGCAGGCCAACACTAGTAGTCCATTGGCCAGCCTGACTAGGGGTGGCACCAACCACTGGGTCCAATTAGAGCCATCTATAAACAAGGGGAACGTCTTGAGGACCTAGCTCCTAGGAAATCCAAAGTCCCAAGGGTCTCTCGAAACAATATGGAGGCTGGCCTGACTCACCTCTGCTCTCGG